ATTCTATGATTCTATGAATCTCTGTCTTCAGACAGATGATTACGTGGCCTAAAAATCCATAACGTCAGAAAGCTGGAATAAACATCAATTTAAGCACTATTTGAACTTTGAAATTCGTATTTTAAAAATCTTGTATAGTAATTTCTTATTTGTGGTGATCAGCAGGAAAAAACACTGCTCACGTAGCAGGTTGTGTGTGACTTCCAGCTCAGTACCTTCCCCTTGGAAGAAAGCAAAATACTGGTAATGTCAGGAGCAGAACGTAACTAAAAGACATTGTGAAGAAAAAACCTGAGTGCACCTGGAGCTTGAGCTGGAAGTTCAGAGAACGTTTCTCACTCTTTGAGAAGGATTTTTTGTGTGGCTCTTCAGTTGAGGCTACTTAGGTGGTGTAGGAATGAAGTTCTGTGATCATCTAAAGGAGGCAGAGGGGAGAGAATTGAAGCTATTGTAGTCATATTCTTACCTGAGCATTTCTGAGATGTAAAGGGGATTTACAAGCCAACTGACACGTAATGCACGTTTTATTTGTAGTTGGATCAAGTCCAGCTGCTTCAGCTGCTGCTCCTGTTGCACCTCCACCGCCGCCACCTCCTCCTCCGCCACCTCCTCCTCCCCCAGGTCTGCAGCAGGGTCTGTCTGCAGTTGAGCTCATTAAAGAGAGGAGAAACAAAAAGACGAACTCTGGACAGAATCTGACAGAAAATGGGCCAAAGAAACCTGAAATACCCAACATGCTAGAAATCCTCAAAGACATGAACAGCGTGAAACTACGCTCGGTGAAAAGGTAATAAATATGAATGAATGCTGATGCATTAACGGTGTTTGCACTAAAGATTTGGGTTTGTGGCTCAGGACTGTTTTGAGGTGAGACAGATGCTGATGTAACACCTGACAAACAGTGCAAAAGCATTCACAACTCGTAAAGGTTTGCTTCGGACTACATTGATGTTTCTCCTTTTCTTGTTCTAGGTCACCAGAAGGAACAAAACCTAAAGCGGCTGACCCTACAGATCCTGCAGCCTTAATAGCAGAAGCGCTCAAAAAGAAATTTGCTTATCGATACCGAAGTGACAGTCAGAGCGAAACAGAAAAAGTGACGCCGAAGAACGAAGCAAAGACAAAGACTGAGGTAGTGCTGGTGAGTATTGTGATGCCGGACATGTGCTTCGACTCAGTCAGAGTTGTTGTGAAAGCCAACGTATGCAAATACCTGCAGTCAGCATCCCTGCCCCCACAGCACCCTATGAACTACTGCTGATTGGCCAGGATTCGGGATTTTAGTATCAAGGCTTAAGATCGTGTACCCTTTTGGCCCTCAGTTTAAAAAGCCCTGCGATAGTTTTCCCGTTTCTTTTAAACAAGCATCCATTCCGTTGGCACGAGCACGCGTTGTTCTGAAACCGTGGTTCCCGAGGGCTCATGCCAGAACCAAACCGGCAGCGGGTTTGCCTGTTGATACCGACCATAACCATTCAGGCAGCGCCCCCACGAAATTTGGAAGCGAGATCCTGAAATGTGTCAGAGCCCTTCCTTGGAAGGCAGAAAGCGAATTGTTTGGAATGTCTGCTGGATCTTGGAACGGGGAGTTTCTTCTAGTGATTGGGAACGCTGATCACGTAAAAGCCGTTTCTTTCTAGCGTGAGAAGGTTAAAATGGAATTATATTTTAAATTCACATCAAGGTAGAAGTTAATGGCTTCCATTTTATTTCAGATTGATTTGAAATTTGAAGTAAGGGGTTTTTTAAGTGGTGAACGTTCCAGATGCAAGTTTCTAGCAATAAACCCTTAGTTAATAAACCGGGTGGTATAGATCAACTTTGTCAGTAAGCAGTACTAGAAGCCTCGTGCTACAGAACCAGAGGGCCAAGAGTTATTTTCCTCCTTGTGTGTTTGGAAAAGCACACATGAAAACTCCCAGAGGGCTGGCTGTGCTCTGAATTAAGCTCTGAGGAAAGTGAGATTGCCAAGCCACAAATCTCAGGGCTCCTGAGTACGTCAGCACGTTAACGGTGACTGACGTGCCTTCTGGCTTAGGCCTTTAAGGTATGTTTCTGTAACGTTCAGGTTGTCCTTTGCAACTGAAGGCTGGATATTCCCCAAGAATCAATCACTTTGTATCCCAGCATGTCTGGGGCTTTGAGGAAAAGAGCGTTAGTCGTCAGTGTTTTATTCACATGTGGGTTTTTTGTGACTTTCCAGCTTTGAAATGTACAGTCCATCTTTTGCGATAAAGGATCATCAAGTCCTCCAAAGCTAAGAAAATCGGAAGGTTTTAATTTGTGAAATGAAAATTGTTCCGTAATGAGCTGATAACCATGTCATCTGTTCCTTACCGATACGTAACTTCTTTGCTAGATCAGTCCTCAGGCGATACCCTCGTGTGATACAGCTGTTGGAGGGATTTGCACAGACAGGCAGGATAGAGAACAGAAACTGTTGAACTCCCGCTAGAGCAACGGGTTGTCATCTTCAACCCTGCCTGTCTTGCTATTTCGCTGTGGCCGAGTGCGCGCTCTCTAGCCAGACCTGCGCCAGCAGATGATTAGTTGCCTCTTCTCAGTGACTTCTTGGAGCGAGTCCGGAGGAGGCCACAAAGCTCCGAGAGCTGGAGCACCTCTGCTCTGGGGACAGGCTGAGAGAGTTGGGCTTGTTCAGCCTGGAGAAGAGAAGGCTCCGGGGAGACCTTATAGCACCTTCCAGTACCTGAAGGGGCTACAAGGAAGCTGGGGGGGACTTTTTACAAGGGCCTGTAGGAACAGGACAAGGGGTAATGGGTTTAAATTGAAAGCAGGGAGGTTTAGGTTGGGTATCAGGAAGAAGTTCTTCCCAGAGAGGGGGGTGAGGCACTGGAACAGGTTGCCCAGAGAAGCTGTGGATGCCCCATCCCTGGAAGTGTTCAAGGCCAGGCTGGATGAGGCTTTGAGCAACCTGGTCTAGTGGAAGGTGTCCCTGCCCATGGCAGGGGGGTTGGAACTAGATGGGCTTTAAGGTCCCTTCCCACCCAAACCAGTCTGTGATTCCACCAGTGGTTGACACCGGTTTCTCTTTACGTTACGGCTGTGGAGCAGGTGACATCCGTACGCAGAGAAGGCGGCTGATAAAGGGAACAGTCTCTGCCCGAGTTCTGGTTTCACATACAGCTTGGACAGGTAGTAGTTCAGCCAGGTTTCAGCTGCAGCCATCTGACCTTGCTTCTCGTTTCCTTCCCAGTTCGGACCGCACATGCTGAAGTCTACAGGGAAAATGAAGACTCTAATTGAAAAATCCTAACGAGCTGAGATCACTACGCCAAAGACTGTTAAGCTGTTTCGTCTGAAATCTTTTATGTTGCAAATGGCACTAGTGCTGAGCGGTCTCTTACAACACAGGAAAAGAAACCTAAGAATTGAGGCACTAAACGTGTTTGTACATGATTTATTGAGGGGAATAAATTGGACCGTTATACTCAGGTATTAATTTCGTATTCAAACCTGGCTTTCTACTCGACTCATGGGGTGGTTTTCGTTTATTAACACTAAGTTATATATACAATGTTCTCTGTGCATAACTGACCACCTTAAAAACGTGTCTGTGTGCTGATAAGGACAGTGATACTCCCTTAAGTTAATATCTGTTATTTGAGCTCTAACTGCAACTTGCACTACGATGTTTAGTTTGAGACTGAAGTTGTCATGACGAAGCCTTTCTTTTAACCTTAATTTTAACAAATTTTTAGCCCAAAGAAAACCTGACTGCATTCTGCTGCCTACAGAAATAAAGGGAAAACTCAGATCTGCTGCAGAGTCATGGGTTTGGGGGAATTTTTAAGCATTTTTTGTGCAGGGTGGGGTGGTTTTTTGTTGTTTCAAATGCAGGAGTAAGAGGGCAAAACCTGCTTGTGTCATCGTGTGGCCAAGAGGAAGAGTGCGTGACAAGTGAGTAAATCGTGCTGCGGGAGCCTCGGTGAGTAGGCAGTCCCGTGAGTTTGAAGTAACCAGTAGGTAGCAGCAGAGTAAAACAATTAACGTCAGCGTAGGTGTTAACTAGTGTGGAAGCGGTGTGGGTTACACAACGGGTACCAAGTCCTTGGGGGAGGGAGGTTGGTGCCTGCTGCCAAAAGTATGTTGCTCATCCGAGCTCTGCTGAGATGCTGGTGGACACCTTGGGTCTCCCGGCTGCCTTTGGGTCCCCGGGGAGGTTTCTAGCAGCCCTCGTGGTCCTATTTGCCTGGAAGAGGTGGCAGAATCTGTTGCACACAATCCATTTCCTGGGGGATGGAAGCCCCTTCTGGGGGCTTCCCGGAGCGGCTGTTGGTTGCCGGACCCGTATGGCGTCAGCTCACGGCTCCGGCCACAGATGTCATTAGGGCTCAAGGGAAAACTAAAATTGGGGTTGAAAAAAGCCGTTTGGGAACTGGAGCGCTACAACTGAGCTGCGCACTGATGCAAGGCCGAGATTCGGTCCGGCTGTAGATGAGCGTAGAAAAAGCCGAGTCTGGGTACTCCGGTGTTGTAAGTTGACCTGGCTGCTGGAACAAGTACAAGTGCCTCTTGGAGCTTCTGTTTTCTAGGGATAAAGCCGCACTTTTTAAATACGGCCAATGGAACCGCTCCGACCGGGTTACTAAGGATGACCGAAGCTTTGCTGCTTGTAACTGGAACGGCGATGGCACAAGGGTGTTTTCTGGTGTGAAACCTTGAAATACTGTTAATACGTACACCACGTGACTTCCTCCCAAAGCGCTCTGCTGTTGGGCTCACTGACAGGCCCTTCCATCTTTGTGTTCTTTTAAACGCCTTTAAAACACCTTTTTCGAAGTTCGTTTTGGTTTCCAGTTTTGTATTTAATGCTCTATTGCCACTCTGTGAAATAAAAAGCAGTTAAAATAAACACCGGGCATGTGGTTTGTGGCACCCTGCGAACGACAGCCGCCAGAGCACTGTTTACGCGCTATTAGAGCGACCGCAGTGACGCGGTGTATCGTTTCCGTTTCACTGGGGTGACGCGGTACCGGCCTCTCTTCCAGGACTGGATCGCTGGCCTTGCTGCGCAGCAGGAGTAACGGCAGAGTTAGTCGCAGACCGATAGAGCGAACAGGGCGGCGCTGTTCATCGGGTTACACTCACTCAGGTGAACGCAGACGATCAGAAGCCAGCGAGGAGGTGACAGGAAGGTGACAGGAAGGTACTCCTCCTTTTAACGGACTCCGGTCCGCTGGGTTCCCCTGACAAGGCCCTTGGTGTGCCACAACCGCCCCACTCCCAAGGGGCCACAGCTGGAGGGCAGCTAGGCCGCAAAACCTCCGCTGAAGGCCTCAGCACCTCTCAGGGACAAAACCTCCCTGTGAAGTGTTTCAGTTTCCAAGTGTCAGAGTTTAAATGAAGTAACTCAGTCCAACTACCTCATTAACCTGTGCAATCCAGGACATCACCTGACTGTTAAACCGGGCTAAAACACAGGGAACAACCCACACTAAATGTTCACGTGCGGCTTGAACTGATGCGAGGTGCCTGCGCCCAGCCCTCCCGAACGCGGCAGACCTCCTCAGTGATGTAGGGCGATGGCAGAAGCAGCCTCGTCAGCACGAGAAAACAATCACGGAGCTGCCATCTAATAATCCACTTCCTGCTTTTCCATACCTTAATTTGTATCATTCTACTGGAAACCTTTCGCCCACTCAACGCAGCCACCCACATGTGCACTGGGCAGGGACCCGGCGTGGCCCGAGGCCTGTTTGTACCTGTCTGCGCGTGAGCAGCCGGCCCACTGGCACCTGGCCTGTGCTGGCAGGGCCCAGCCGCCACCCCATCGCCCATCCCTGGGCTGGGAACGAGGGGCGACCGCAGCACGTTAGGTGGGCGTGATCGGCTCTCGCGTGACGTGTTCCAGCCGTAGGAGCGTTGGAAGTTCAGTGTGGATTTGCAGAAGGCGGCTCTAGGCTGCACATTCAAGAAAAGGCATTTGGTTTTGGGCGGTGTTTGCAATTCAGTCCGACTTCAGAAGCTTCCGCACACGCTAACAGGTGGGATTAGAACCAGCCTTTCCAAGTCCAGTGTGGTAGGAAAAGACAGAAGCCCCATGGCTTACAACAAAACTACTCCTGTGTTACTCCAGCACCTTGACAAGCTGTACTGGTTCCTGTCAGAGCAGGTGAAGCAAGATTCATAGAATCACAGAATCAGAACGGTTTGGGTTGGAAGGGACCTTAAAGACCATCCAGTTCCAACCCCCCTGCCATGGGCAGGGACACCTTCCACTAGACCGGGTTGCTCAGAGCCTCATCCAGCCTGGCCTTGAACACTTCCAGGGATGTCTGACCAAAGCTTGTTACCCAGCAGAGAAAGAGTGAGTGGAAGTCAGGGAACAGCAAGGACGTGCACTGAGAGCGAAGGAACTTCACGCAGGTTCCAAGATACGGTTTCATTATAAATTTATTTCTTTAAACATGGCCACTTGGAGATTAATGGTACTACTCCAGGGAACAGGAAAGAATAATAAACAACTTAATTTTAGAGGGGAAACAATCAGGTAACTCAGGATTTGCTTTTCAAAGAGCAAAAGGCCAAACTCCATAAATTTTGGCATATGAGGCCTAGTCTTTCCAAACCCACAAGTTGGCTTAGTTTTAGAGTGGAAGCTGACTGCAGCCTTGGCGATCTTCCAAGACGCCGGACTCGGTCGGAACTGACACGTACAGGAGCGTAATGTGAAAAGGTTCTGGGTTGGTGGGGTTTTTTTATTATTAATTAGAAGTTAACAGCAACAGGCACATATTAAAATGAACATGGCAAAGCCTTTACAAACGGCTTTACGCTGAAGGTCTCTCCCAAAAAATGGCTGTTGCAACAAACTGTAAACAGAATTAATAAACAGTCTTTTACAATAACAACAGGGAAATACAAATGAACTAAAAGAAAGCACCAGTTTCTCAAACTAGATTACAGTTGTGCTTACTGTACTTAAAACAATGTCAAACAAATTACAAAAATGGAATGTTTTAAGTTTAAAATTAGTCCTTGAATTTTGTCCTAAAAAACATTTTCTCCTTTTCCCATCAAAAACCCGTCAGTGGGTGATGTTTCAGCAGAGGGAGGAATACGTAAACAATGCACTTTACTTTTGTTTGTTATTATTATTATTTTTTTTCAAATCAAAAACAAATTTGGTCACTTAGCTTTGTGCATAGTTTAAGGCATCTGTAGCAATTTGTTACAGTTTCCTCCCCGATGTGGCTGTTCATGAAATTGTCACATTCTGAAAGAATAAATTAAAAAACCAAGAAGAGAAGAGAATAATGTTGCCGTTCAAGCCCTCCCCCGGTGCCCTCCCCGCCCTCCCGCCCCAGAGACACTCGCACACCCACACGTACACACACGCTGCAGCGAAAGGGGCATCTGTACCCTTGTTCTGAAGGACACGCTTCCCATCCCACTTTATTTCGGATTGGCGAATACCCTGAGCTGATTATGGTGTTTAAACATTCCACCTTTTTCTTGCATGTGCAGTTCAAGTGTACAATAGTGAAAACAACATGCGATGTTCCCACTGCAGAGTCGCAATGCAGTTCGGACGCTCC